GGCATGGAACCCCGTGTACTTTAGCCCTGATGGGCTGTGTTGGGCATTCAGGCAAGTATAAGGAAGACCAACATTACCCTTTCTCCTCATTTCGCATTTCTTCATCTGGAAAGTAATTATGAAGACTCTGATGTTATAAAATACAGGCCTGGAGGAACTTGATTATGATCTAGAAAAGAAATCAGCCGAGAACATACAACCTGTGGGCTAAATCTGACCTATTCTTTTACTGACCACAAGCTAAGAATGCTTTTTAAAGGGTAGTAAAATAAATTTTAAAAACCTATTTTATGATTGAAAATAGTATGAAATGGAGATATCAATGTCCATGGATAAAGTTTTGGCAGACATAGACACATATTGTTGTGGCTACTTTCAGAACACAGTCTAGGGTTGACTGGTTGCCTCAGAAGCCAAACAGCTCACAAGCCTAAAATGCTTACTACCTGGCCCTTCACAGAAAAAGCAGTGACTTCTGCTATAGAAGCCTGTGATAGACAAGTTTTGGCAGAATTGTGAGTTTCCTGGGTAATTTAGAACCTGCCCTTTTGTGTGCAGAATGGTTAAACTAACAAAGGAAAAACAAACTAATTTGAATAAGCATATTTCAGAAATGCGTTTTTAAATAGACTATGCAAAATTTATGTACAAGAATATGTGAATGTATTTATATTTCACTAAATGTTAGTACTCTGCTTGCTTTCAACCCCAGATTGCTAGGTTGGCCTGCACAGTTTTCAAGCCTTTTCACTAACTGATTTGATAATTTTGTTTATTTTCAAACAGTGATTTATTTATCTGGCTGCATCGGGTCTTCATTGTGGCCCGAGAGATCTTGGTTGCATCAAGCAGATCTTTCTGGCACATGGACTCTCTTGGTGCTGTCCACAGTCCCTGTGGCCGTGGTAGCTGTGGTACTGGGGCTTAGTTGCTCTGCAGCATGTGGGATCGTACTTCCCCAGCCAGGAATCAAACCCACGTCCCCTGCATTGCAAGGTAGAGTCTTAACCATTGAACCACTAGGGAATTCCCTTATCTGATCATTTTAAATACTGCACAAATGCCAGTCATTCTTTAATCGAATGATCTTGAATTGTTTATTTTTCAGGTTAATTTCCATTATAGGTTATTACAAGACAATAACAAGAAATATAGTTCCTTGTGCTACACAGTACATCCTTGCTGTTTATCTATTTTATATACAGTAGTGTGTACCTGTTAATCCTAATTTATCTCTCTCCTTTCCCCTTTGGTAACCGTAAGCTTGTTTGCTATGTCCATGAGTCTTCCTGTTTTGTATTAGATTCCCTGTATTAATTTTTAGATCCACATGTACATGGTATGTCTGTCTGACTTACTTCACTTAGTATGATATTCTCTAAGTCTATTCACGGTGCTGCAAATGGCAGTATTTCATCCTTTTTTATGGCTGAGTAATATTCCATTGTGTTCCACATCTTCCTAAACCAGTCATCTGTTGATGAGTATTTAGGTTGTTTTGGTTCCTTCACTATTGTGAGTGCTATGAACATTGGGGTGCATGTATCTTTTCGTATTTGTCTTCATTTTTTTCTGGATATATGCTCAGGAGTGGGGTTACTGGGTCATTTGGTACCTCTATTTATAGTTTTTTATAGAGTTTTTCTTGAACCTACTTTACTCTGAGTCTATCACCTATTGCTGACCAGAGGATGCCCAGTCTAACTGTTCTACATCCCTCTTCTAATTTGTGACTTCTTACCTAAACAGTTCTAAGAAAGTGTGTTAGGATTGTGTCTAAACTAAAAGTCAATAAACTAAGCCTCAAGAGAGATTCAAATACATGAGCTCTGATGTTTAAACCAAAGGTGAAAAATTGTATTGTTGGGGCTGATGCAATCTTCAGGGTGCTTGTGTGGGCATTCACTTGGGTCTTAAAAATTTGTTTATTACCCCTAAATTTGTTAATTACTTGATAACATTTAAAGAGTTAGGAATTTTTTTTTAATATAAAATTCAAATTTCTCCCTCCGCTAAAACATTCGCAGAGCTGGCAGCATTGGCCCCATGACCCTACATGTTACTCACTGCTGGCTGTGAGAGGGAGCTGCTTCCTGAAGGTGGCTCTTGTTCAGTCTCAAAGTTGTTTCCAACCCTTTGCAACCCCACGGGCTGCAGCACGCCAGGCTTCCCTGTCCTTCACTATCTCCTGGCCTTTGCTCAAATTCACATCCATTGAGTCAGTGACTACGCCATCCAACCATCTCATACTCTGCTGCCCCTGTCTCCTCCTACCTTCAATCTTTCCCACCATCAGGGTCTTTTCCAATAAGTTGGCTCTTCACAGCAGGTGGCCAAAATATTGGAGCTTCAGCTTCAGCATCAGTCCTTCCAATGACTATTCAGGGTTGCTTTCCTTTAGGATTGATCTCCTTGCTGTCCAGGGGACTCTCAAGAGTCTTCTCCAGAACAGTTAGAAAGCTGTAGGTGGGGCAAGCACTAACGACTCTTCACACCGTCCCCACCTTCTCTCAGCCTCCCCAACACCACGGCCAAGTGTTAGCTGCTGCTCAGGAATTCACTAGCCCCCTTTTTCCTGCCCTTCACCAGCTTAACCTACTTTTTTTTTTCTTTCACTTTTTTTCACTTACCCGTCTGTTCAGGTGTATGAATCCAGCCTATGATGTGTGATCTTTATTTTGGTTGCCAGGAGACCTTTTCTTGTTTACCTTCTGGGTTTCGATATGGTGGAAGTGTTTGAGGTTGTCAGAATGACACAGCTCAAGCCTTGGGTGGGAAGCAGGATGGTGTGACCTTGGTGGACCTGAGAGCACCCAACAAAAAACAAAAACCATTGCCTTGATGCAGTAGCCAGTACTTGCACTGAAAAAAAGCAGCAGAGCTTTAAGGACTTGAGAACAGATCAGGCCCAGGCTATAACCCTGCCTGGACAAGAGGCCATTCATGTTTTACCTCTGAGAGCCCAGCTGGGGTGGACACACAGCTCAGATGAGGTTAACGAGGACTGAAGCTGTGGGGAGAAGCACACCGACTGAAACTGCCCACCATAGCAATTATTTGCATGAGTTATTTTACAACAGGAGGTCTTGGTGAGGAGCATAGGAACTGATAAGGTACTGTCCTCCGGAAGAGTTCGGGAAGGGTCAAAAGGAGACGCCACGTGTCCTACTGCCTCCCAGAATCCTTCTCGCTGGCGTCCATCTTGGCTGAGCAGCGAGGGCGCCACCGGGAAGGACCCTGAGTCAGAGTGATTAGCCAAAAACAACCCGGAAGCGAATCCCATGGCCATAAAACCCCAGACTGTGAGCCGCGCGGCAGAGCAGTTCTCCTGGGTTCCCTGACCCTCCTGCTCTCCACCCGCGCGCCTCTTCCCAGCAAAGTCTCTTCCTTTATCAGCGCGTGTGTCTCCTCAGGCAATACATCTCCAAGTGTTAGACAAGAGCCCACCGTCGGGTCCTGGAAGGGGTCCCCCTTCCTGCAGCAAAGTGTTTGTAGAGGGAAAAAAGATCCCGCCTCATCCTCCAAAAGCTCCTGGCCCCGCCTAGCCTTTTTTTGTTTTGATGTTTGAGCTGATCTCACTGTGTGTCTATCTCCTTGTGCTTGCTGGCTCCTTGGTTGTGACCATAAACATGTCCTGGGGTCAGAGAGAGGCAGGGAGTGATACAGAATGTCCACTTGCCCACAGTTTTCAATATGTTAAGCCAACCGGAGAGAAGAGAGCAGATATCCTGTCCTGGTTGGAAGGCATTAGCTTAGCCTGCCAATTATTTGTGGGAAGAAAATTATTTGCCTGCTCAGTTGCCTCAGATACCAGGCAAAACAAACCTCCTGCTGGGCCAGCCACTACAAAAGGCATGGCGCTCTCATATCCGGCTGCTCCTCTGATGCCGCTGCTTCAGTCGCTTCAGTTGTGTCCGACTCTCAGTTGGCTCAGGAACTTTCCCCAGACGCATCCTTCCCACCCACCTGCCTTGAATGCACTCCACGTTTGCTGAGCGCTGGAGGCACCTGGCTCAGGTGAGCTATGAGAAGCCGTCTGTAATGTGACCAGACCTGCTGAGCTTCTCTTCCTGGCTTCCCTGAATGACACTGGAGGGGACTTCCAGGAATTTTGCTCAGTCCCGAAACCTTTGTTCTCCCTTCAGAGTAAGGAAGTAGGAGAGGGGTTGGGTGGACAGGGGACTCTTTGGAGCTCTCTCAAGTGACCTCCAGTCTGAGGATGTCAGGCTGTTAAAGAGACCCAATAGCTAGTTACGCCACACGGGCTAGATAATACTGTGTCAACAGCTCCAGTTATCTGAAGCTCTGTGTGAAATGGGAACCAACCTTTGCCTCTGGGAACAAGCTATCACTTTTCTCCTAGGCAGGTGGAACTAAAATGCGTTTCATTTATGCCTCCACATCGACTCTTGAATATCAAGTCACTCCTAGCTTCCTTCTGCTCTCATCATGTGCCCTTGAGAGTGTAATTCTTTTTTTCCTCTACCCATGGACATATATATGCTATGTAACATCATTAGAAACTGTCTGATTTAATTCAGGGAACACCTACCTTGCCATCAGATTTTTTTTTCCTCCAATAATCTGCTACTTAGGCATGTTGCAAGGGTTTTTTTTTCTTAACTGTATCTGACTTATATGCCCAAAGGTAGAGGTAACACTGAAATGAAATAAAGTGGCAGAGACCCAAAAAGAGAAATAAAGCTGAGGAGGAGAAATCCACAGGTAGCAGTTTTCAAGGACTGCTGGCTTGGTGGGGTGAGCCAGAAAAAGGAGAACCACTTAATTTGAAAAGGAAGGGGAAAGCGCAAGAAGGGAGATCAGGCCACAAAGATTGGATGGAGGGAGGGCGGAGTGAAGCCCGGGAAACAGCCCCGGTGAAAGCAGCAGGCACTCCAGACTTTGCTGAGATCCACTGGCGTCTTATATGCAAATGAGAGGGCTTTCCCGGAGCTGCCCTGAGCCCGGCACCTTTCGCCAGCAGCAGAGTGGCACCACGGAGCCCAGAAGCCCAGGACGCTTTACGAAGCATCTCTGGTCGTTGCCAGGAGAGGCTGGACAGCAGCCAGAAGCAGAGAATAAATGCAGATTGAAGGACCCGGCAGAAGGAAGCCCGCTTGGAAGCTGTTGAAATTCCAAGATTGGCAAAAGAAGTCAGTTCCACCTCTTCACTCTTGTTTCAGGAACCGATTGTTTCTCAGTCTTTGGAGAGAGATTCCTTCCCCAGGAAAGTGAAAATAATGAACTTCTGGAAGTATTGGTTTTTTGCTTTCATGGGAGTCAGTGTGGTTATTTTTGTGATCCTTTACAGTGGCCAGTTAAGCCAACCGAAAAGTCACAGGAATAGCTCCGTTGAAAGGGACTTGGGGATACATGCCTGTAAGGATGCCTTAGATGAGAAGTCAACCTTCTTGTGGGAAAAGACATTGATGTCCCCCGTGGGAAGTGTCCCTTGCAAGGACTACCTGATCCAGAATCGCTACATCACAAGGCCTTTGTCGAAAGAAGAAGCCGAGTTCCCTTTGGCGTATGTCATGGTCATCCATAAGGACTTTAACACTTTCGAAAGACTCTTCAGGGCCGTCTACATGCCCCAGAACATCTACTGTGTTCACGTGGATGAGAAAGCCACAATTCAGTTTAAGAAGTCTGTGTGGCAGCTGCTCAGTTGCTTCAAGAATGCTTTTCTTGCTTCAAAGATGGAGCCTGTGGTCTACGCAGGAATTTCCAGGCTCCAGGCTGACCTGAACTGCCTGGAAGACCTTTTAGCTTCTGAAGTTCCATGGAAATACTCCATCAACACCTGTGGGCAAGATTTCCCCCTGAAAAGCAACAGGGAGATCGTTCAGTATCTCAAAGGATTTAAAGGGAAAAACATCACCCCCGGGGTGCTGCCTCCCGACCATGCGGTAAAGCGGACGCGATATGTCTACCAGGAGCACTTGGACAGAGGTGGTTCCTATGTGAAAAATACCGGTATTTTGAAAACCTCCCCTCCCCACCAGTTGACCATCTACTTTGGCACTGCCTATGTGGCCCTCACCAGAGAGTTTGTCAAGTTTGTCTTCCAAGACCGAAGGGCCATTGATCTGCTCCAGTGGTCCAAAGATACCTATTCTCCTGATGAACATTTCTGGGTGACTCTTAATAGGATCCCAGGTGGGTATGAACTTCCATTCCTGTTGGGTTTTTATTTTCCCCTTATCCGTAGATTGAGTTTGCTAACATTCAGCTCTTCTTTGAAATTATTTGGGAAAAAAGAAAAAAATGCCTGGAAAGCGATTAGTCAGCTTGCTTTTTAGGGGCAACTCTGCTGTCTTATGGGCCTCCCTGGTGGCTAAGATGGTGAAGAATCTGCCCGCAGTGCAGGAGACCCGGGTTTGATCACTGCATTGGGAAGATCCCCTGAAGGGATGGAATAGAAACCCACTCAAATATTCTTACCTGGAGAATCCCATGGACAGAGGAGCCTGGCGGGCTACAGTCCCTAGGGTCCCAAAGAGTCAGACACAGTGGAGTGACTAACACATACACTACCATCTTATAACTGTGCTACATGGTAATCTAAGAAATATGCCAGTTTCCCGGAGCGCTGGCAAAACTACTTTTGAGGATATATCACATAGTTCCTGACCTTGTGGTCAGTCTTTTTTTTTTTAATTGAGATATAATTGACATACAATAGCTCAGTCTTTTGAATAAATGCCTTTCATAGTCCTTGATAAGAACGGTTGTGACATAGTGAGACTGATTTTGAATAAGCATCCTATGAATTGAAATAGGTGGTGTTTCTCTTAGAGGCTGTTACACTATATTATACTGATGCTCAAAGTTCACAGTGCTGTTTCACCTTTGGATGTTTACAAATTATCACTCTGGCTTGAATGTCTCTAGTCTCAGACCTGACCAGGTGTCCAGGTCTCAACTGACTTGGTTCAGTAAACCTAGTCTGATATTTTATTGCCTGGGAGAGTGAATCACAGTGAGTTGAAACATACGGAGAGACATTCTAACTGGAGCTGACCTCAAGTCACGTCTCAATTGTTAAGTCCCATTTTCTTCTTAGAAATTCCCCTTTGCAGTCTCTTGTTTTGATATACTGTGAAATCTTTCCCATTGTTCATGATAATTTGGGGCTTAGGTATTTGGGGCTAAGGTATTTGAGGCATGGAGGCAGGAAACAGCAGCAGATTCCTCCTTTAGATTCAGGCCTGGGTTTCTTCTCAAAGTTCTGTTTCCCATTTGTTGTCTGGGAAGGTCCCTGTGACCTGTAGGGCTTCTTCCTGGTGATGTCCCAATGCACTAGTTTCTACTATTGTGCCAGCTTGCCTGTGGGTGTCAGCCCTGCGGGGAGGTGACCCCGAGCCTGCCACGCTTGAAATACCTCCCTTCTCTTGGCTGCAGTATCGCTATTGTTGGCACTTACGAGTGCTACCTTCATACCTGAACGTGGACTCATAGCAATTGTTAGGTGCCCAATAGCTCAGCATCCCTGAGGGCTAATCTGGAGTGGCGCTTACAGAAACCTACTTAAAGAGGGGCGGGAAACGGACTGGCAAGGTGGTTGGGGACAGACCAATAGTAATTTCAGTGAATTTCAGACAATAGTAAGTTAACGGTTCACAAAGACTTGCAGAAGGGGGCGTGAATCACATTTTTCACAGTGTAAGTTGCAACTGAAAGTGGGGTGCGGGTGGCTTGCCGCTCAGAAGAACCCAGGTTGGTGGAAAAGAAGGTTTGCTTTATTTTGGATGCTGAACATGGAGCGGGGAGGGCAGACTTCTGTCCAAAGGAGGGCTCTCCCCTACTGACAGCCAGTGGGCAAGAGCTTTTATAAGCTGAGGGAGGGGCTCCGGGCAGAAAACAGCACAGTCAGCGCTGACAGTCATCTTGAAATTGGTCATCAGTGGTTGGTTTGCTCCAATTTCCTTGACACCAGTTCTCGGAATTGTGGCAGCTTATGTCATGGCTATTGTCTTGCCATCAAGTAGTTAACTTACCTGAGGTTTCAGTGTCTGTGAGACAGCTCACAGGATAGGGCTCAGATATTTATCTATAGCCCTTGAGAAGGAACTAAAGGTCTTTGACTATGCTTAATGACAGCATTATTATTATTTGGTCTCCTTTGACTATTTTCTTTTGTTTCTGCATTTTCTCACTTCTCTGATTCAACTTATTCTTTGGCTAAAGTTTTTCCACAGACAAAAGGCAGGCAGAGGACATGGGGGCGGGGGCAAGGACCATAGGCAGGGTCCTGCTCCATTTCACAGTTGAGTGTTCATCCTAATTGTTCACAAATAAGTGTAAACATTCTGTACATGGCATGTGATACCGTTTTTGTTAATACAGTTTGTGCTGTGTATGTTATGCTCCATAGCACCTCTCTTAATTATGACAAATAATTATTGTTATCCTCATGTACAGATGAGGAAAATGAGGCTTAGGAGCAGTGGTAGTCGTTCAGTCCTGTCTGACTCTTCGCAGCCCTACGGACTGTACCCCGCCAGGCTCCTCTGTCCATGAAACTTCTCCAGGCAAGAATACTGGAGTGGGTTGCCATTTCCTTCTCCAGGAGATCTTCCCGACTCAGGGATCGAACCCAGTTCTCCTGTATCCCAGGAGGATTCCTTACCATCTGAACCCCTAGGGATGTGCTAGGTTCACACAGCCTGTCCAAGGCAAAGCTGGGATCTCCTGGATTTGCGAGCCCTGAAGACTGAAATGTTTCTCTTGTACCAGGAAAAGGAACGGTCTTGTTCTGTTTTTTTTCTTTGCTCTATATCTAAAGCAAATTCCCTGCAGAACCCCAGAAAGGTGAAAGGACGAGGTTGGAAGAAAAATGCAGAGAACAGTGACAGTAAGCCCCACCTGACTACTCTAAGCTAGAAGTCAGGTTAGCAGGGATATGGAAGAGAGAGAGAGAGTGTGTGTGTGTTTGTGTGTGTGTGTGTGTTTGGAGTCATAGGAAGGTGTCCTTGCTGGAACCGCCCGCCACGACCCACCCAGGCTTCTGTGCCTGCTCCCCAAGCCCCTGTAGACCAGGCTGTGGTCTGGCTCTCCCTTCACGCAGCCAGTGGGCCTGGGAAGTGATCTTCAGGGCACCTCTGCTGCTCACAGAAGATGGTGGGTGAGACCCATCTAGGCTGACTTTGAACCTAGTCCCTGCTAAACGACAACAAAAAGAACACGAAGAATCTTGAGGACATCGTCTCCCTACAGAGTAGAGAAGAAGTCTTCAAAACCAAAACAAAATAAGAACATTGCGCCATGTCTGTTTTCAGCAATTAACAAATACTTACTAAGCCCTGCGTGGTACCTGGCAGTGTTCCGTGAACTGAGGGTGGCTCTGGAAGGAGACAGGTATGACTTTATGGAATTTAAATTTTGAGATTTGAATGGTTGTGTATCAGGTTTAGTGACTTTTTTGTTCATCAGGGTTTAGTATGTTGAGCTAATCCCCCCTCCTACCCATTCCAACTCCTCAAAATGTTGTGAGTTGTTTTTTTTTCTCCTGATTATCCGTCCCTATGTTAAAAAATAAGAAATGTATTCAAGAGCTTTAAAATTTTTAAGTTAAACTTTTTTTTTTACTTTATGAGCTGCTGATATTAATGCTTCCTTGTATTCTTCCAGAGATATTTTATTAAGTTTATAGATAATAAGATTAATTAAACATTGTGTGGAAAATAGTATGCTTTTTTTTTTTAAGTTTACAAAATACACAGGAAAAAGAAGAATGGTCTTTTTTTTAGGCACCCTATTGCTGACTCATTGGTAAAGACCCTGATGTTGGGAAAGATTGAGGGCAGGAGGAGAACGGGGCAACAGCGGATGAGATGGTTGGATGGCATCACCAACTCGATGGACATGAGTTTGAGTAGGCTCCAGGAGTTGGTGATGGACAGGGAGGCCTGGAGTGCTGTGGTCCATGGGATCACAAAGAGTCAGACACGACTTAGCGCCTGAAAGAGAACAAATTGTGAGTGAGAAACAGAAGTAGACAAGATGTAACCTCTATTTAGATCATATGCAGACATTTAGGAAACTAATTTTCATTTAAAGTTTTTTGAAGCATTTCTGATTGTTCACTTGTTTGTTTAGTTTTTTGGCCATATCATGGGGCATCTTACTTTCCCTACCCATGACTGAACCGGTGCCCCTTGAAGTGGAAGCACAGAGTCTTAAACTCAGGACCGCCTGGGAAGACCCATTATGTATTTTTTTTAATACATACATTTTTTTTTTTTTTTAATTTGGCCATGCCATGCAGCATGCAGGATCTCAGTCCCCTGACTAAGACTTGAACCTGGGCGTGAACCCTAGACCGCCAGGGAGCTCCCCAACAACACAGCAGGACTCTCTGACCTGACCCCTCTCCTCCCTTACCCCAACTCTCTCCCCTTACTGCTTTGTGCGTAAGGCCTCACACTTCATACCCCAGCAACTACTTGGTCCTACACACTTCTGCGATTTTCCCTTAATTTTTTTTTTTTGGTGGCTTTTTGAGCTACCCTTCCTATCATCTCCGACTATTCCTATGCATCCTTTGTAACCCTCCTTGGATGTCACCTCCTCCAGAAGCCACCCTTGATAACCCACCTCCCAGACAACTGGTACTCCTATACGCCCTGCCACCGCTCCCAGCACTGAATTATAACTACCTGCCAAGTGAAACGCCCCTCTGCCCTTCCTCCTCTGTGTCTGTGTTGCTTTAGGGTGAGAAATGTGACATCCATTCTCATCTTTTCCACCACTCCCCCCACACTGCGACCTATTGCTGTGCCCAAGGAGGGCTGGATGCTTGTGGGTTCGGTCTGGGGAGGTGTTAGTTAGGAGACACTGGATACACGCGTATGTATGGCTGAGTCACTGCTTTGCGCCTGAAACTATCACAACATTGTTAATCAGCCATAAAAGTCTGAAAAAGAAAGTCCAGAGAGTGATGTCCCCTATCTGAGGTGGGGAGGAGTAATTTTTGATAGTAAGAATCAGGGAAACAGTAGGTAGGCTTGAAGGTATAATTCCATAAGAGCTAGGCCAAAAAGTGGTACCAGTAACGAGAAAGATAACCAGTCTTTGTGGAATTATAAGAGTTTCAGCTGGAATGTTAATAGGGCAGAATCATTGCTTAGAAAACTGATTCCCAGGGACTTCCCTGG